AGATCGAGGGTTTCTTCGTTAATGCGCGAGGAGGACTGGGAATGCATATTCCGTTGCGCACCGCGGAAAATTCAAGTGTGGTTTTTTTTTCGGTACGGTTCAGAGTACGTATTGTGTGTTCCCTCTCTATAATCACGGTTCACGGGCCTTATGGTCATACGAGGGAAGAAGAAGCGACGCGTTGAGCCATGGAACAATTGTGGTATTCACGTCTATTATTCCCAGACAGCACATGACGCCTTGGAGACGGCTTAAAGACGTCTTAGACCTAAAATAGCCGTAAAATGGGCGTGTTCAAGGCGTCATGTGCTATCTGGGTTCTGTATTGGGAATGTCGGTGGAGGTGTGGTAAGTCAAAATCTAAGGATTTTGGCCCTCCGATGGTAAGATGGAAAATTACTGACTGTAGGTCTTTCAAATTTATAGTTGTTTACAGTTCAAATATCATAAATACGAAGTAACTTTTAACAGTTTTAAAATGGTTAGAATCAGAAGTCTGTGATTTGAATGGAAAGAACAATGCGAAATTCCATAAACGTAAGTGCGCGTGTGCAACACCCCAAAGTACAAATTTTATTGGTGGTGAAAATATAATTAATCGTGGCCATCTTTTAAATCGTGGAAGACTAAATGAAGATGACAATGATGTTATTGAAATAATTGTGTTTTGCCTTCAGACATCATATTTAAAAGATGATCCACGTGAAATTAGTGGTGAAATCTTGAAAGATGGACGAATTATTGGTATGAATTAAAACTTAGGTAAATTTGCGACACGACTTCCTAAAAATCATTAATTTTATGTTCAACTCTATTTATAATTATAAGAATAATATTTGTTGGGATAAAATCGTCTTTTGTAAAGTGTAATGAGCATATTCTCATAGACGACGATACATTCTAGCCCATTTTTAAAACTTTCACCCATGCACTGAAGCGGTCAATAATTTCTTCTTGATTTAATTTCTTTTTTAATTTCACGAAGTTTACTTTTTGTCGGAGAAAATGGTAAAGGCGAACAGTATCATTTTTACATGCATGATTGTTACAACCGTACACACAGCAATATATTTTAGTCTTATTCTTTCTAGGAAAAATTGCATGGTGTACATTTTTATAACTGTTTAAATAATTATACCGATTAATACTACTGAAATACCAACACCATATCCTACGACAAATTTGCTCTCGATCCAAAGGCAACTACTTTTAGCGATCATTATTACAACTTTCGACTATTATCGTTACCGAATACAGTCATTTATATCTATTTATATTTATTTACTTATAATCGCAATTTATAGTTGTATTGCATGAAAGATTCATTCCAAATTTATTTCAGGGGGTTTTACCCTTGAAAAAAGGTAATATCGGGGCCAATAGTGTTTTGGAAGTTTAATTAGTCAGAAAGTAAAGAATTCTAAATATTATACAAGAATCCACTTCGTAAGTCTTTGAATAATACATATGTTCGAAAAACAATGTCACAATTCCGCGAGTGCAAGAATCCGCGTAATCTGATACAGAACATTGACTTTAAACTGAAATTAATACGGCCGTGAAGTTCGCGAAACTGGTCCCGGCGGAATCTCGTTATTAATTAATGATCATTTGTCGACAATAATTACGCGAAACCTGTTCCACGGGATCGAGGTAAACGATTTTGCAAGCGTTATACAACGCTGCTCGAGATCTATTTTTTGTCACCGCGGGGCGAAACCAGAACCGACTTCTTTGCATGCAGACGTTCAAGGCTACACACAGCTGCGGGTAAGAATTGGGCCGGAAGAAGTCGAGGCGCGAGCAAATTGTTCACAGTGGGAAACAAAGGGAGTTATGCCTCATTTTCGGAATTGTAGTGGCAGCTATAATGACGGGTCCCCATAACGCCCCATGGTCATTTGAGGTTTACACTTGCAATTGTCTTCTGCGAGATTACTCGCTTAAGCGATTTTCCTTTTTATGCCATCTTCAACTTTGAACGTTCTTCCCTAAACTACCGACATTCATCAAATTGTTTCCACTTTCGTGAATTTTAAAACTGTCACAGCTTTCATCGTAATAATTGCGCTATTCGTCGTTCATCTAAATATAAAAGTGACACTTTTGAGATATTCGAATGTTTTGTTATAACTTCATTGTTCTTCCGTTTATTCTTCATTAATGAACATTACATCTTTTATGCTGATACAAGGATGTACATATAAACAGAGAAATAGAAAAAGTATTCGTATACCGCTGATTCTAATTAACAATTGACAATGTTGCGTTTACAAGGGAAGCACGTCAATTGTACGACTTCGATTTTAACAAGGTTTTGTAAGATGACAGTATACAGGTTCCTAATGATATTCATATGTGTAATATTCGGTGGAGACACTCGATAATTTGAAAAATATAAACAATTGACGTTACGTATCTTTAAGTAAAAATTATCGAAGTACAGTGATTCCTCGATGAATGAAACACGAGCAACGGCGCTATTCTCACCACTGAGGGAGTCCCCATGTGAAACCAATTAAAACAGAGTAAACAGTAGCTAAGCAGAGGCTCGGCTTCGGGCAAAAAACAAATTTATGTGAGGCTGAAAACTTTTCCGCCTTGCAACGGATGCTCTGAAGTGGATCCGAGTGTGTCGCTCCTATCGAGACATTACTGTATAAGGTTGTCCCGCTGGTAAATCGAAGGTCTTGGGATCGATTTCGTTCACGGAAATATTTTCGTTTTACTTTGCGAACACAACTTCGATAACTTTAACTTATATTCATAATATCTCTTGAAAGTTCGTAACATTAATTGTTATTACCATTGAAATTATCGAGTGTTTACACCTAGTATTTCACATACGTATATCATGAGTAACTTAGTAACACACTTAGACTTTAATATAAACTGACCAATGTGATGTATGCGTATGTTGTGTTTTGACTGATCGATGTGTTCTGGTGAATGAGTGAATGTATAGATGCTTGCTGGAATGGATCGACTCGTGATTGATGGAAAATGCAGAATTTTGGTTGGTGTAGGTGGTTCAAGAGGTGGTAGAATGAGTTGGAAAAAGTGAGGTTTGGTATATGGATTTCTTGGATTCCTAGAAGTCAACGCCGAAATATAAGGAATGGTCTTAAGGACCGCGAATGTTTTGCGCGTGATGTACAGCTGTCCAGGAATCCCTGTTTATGACAGTTTGGTGACCGTGTCGACGGCCCATGACGCCATGAGCGTTACGACTATCGCCTACCTACGTTGGGTCGCAACATTTATTTTAAAAAGAGTAGGCTTAACGAGTAATGAAAGGCACAATTTTTCATTAAATTTCTCTTCGAAAAATCCGTCCCATTATTCAAGATAGAAATATTTAATCTGGTATTTCTGATGGGTGGCTTTGAGACCGAACGTTAATCCCGCAACAGTATTACAAGACCCTTGCTCTTTCGTGTCTGGGCAGCTTTCTTTGACCTTGGAAAGATTAATATCCACGGATTTAATTAAAGCCACCAGTTTTAATCACAACGTTCATTAGAAACGGTAATAATCTCCGTGTCAAGACGGCTGACGGAAGCTGCGTTGCGAAAAGAAATCAGGGGAGCATCACCCACCTGATTGATTGCCCTCGCCTGCATTCCCTACCCCGATTCCATTCTCGTGTAATTTCGTCTTAAAATGGATGAGACTCGGAACACGTATAAAGAAACGCGTAGATATTCGGCGCTTATATCATTTGAATAGAACACTAAAATATGACTTACTGCATTTTAATAAAACTAATTTTCGAATATTATAAATATTCTTTCGAAGAAGTAAATAAATGTTGGTAAATTCTGACTTTAAGTACGTATTGAACATAATCCTACTTGTGTAAAAAGAAGCGAATTAAAATCATATATTCAGAAAAATAAAAATTACAAAGTTAAAGACTTGCTAAAATTTCAAAATTGCATCTTAATACTGATAAAGTACTTTAAGTGAAGTTATACGACGCCCCAAAATATTCAACACATTTAAAATAGTAACAATCTCCTTATAAAAAAACATAAGACAAAAAAAAACGATAATACATGTACTATTTAACTTTTCAATTATTACTATTATTATCATCACGTAAATCGGTGGCTCTCAGCAAGATAAATACATAAAGTATGATAAGATTTTATATTATAGAATATAAAATTAATATTTTATTGTTACCTACAGTACTAGAAACATTTGTTGCGACACTTTCAAAATTACTTAGTATGCACAATTTTTATAGCAATATGATCCATCACATGATTCGTATCAAACTTATTTTAACCAAAACAATGTTGTTCATATTTTTGCAATAAATATCTATTTTAATTAACCCTTTCATTCCCTCTCTAGTATCATGTCTTTTTTCATATCTGTGAGTGTATAATAATTTTTTCTAGTCTTGTATAGATGGTATGGTACAAATTGGAATGTGCATTTAAAAGATCATCGATACAATAAGACATTATTGGTCCTTTGTCTCATTCATTTGATGGAATTCAAATGTTGAGCATTGTTACAAATACAATAGAAACTTACAAAACTGTAATTTCTTTCAAATATTATGACGTGTGAAAAATTGGGTTTTATTATGAATAATAACATTACGATAAGAATTATTGTTAACTGTGATAAAAGTAAAAAAGTTGCCAAATGGCGACTACTGAAAAGTGGCACGACGGTTTCAAAATGTTAAAATATTCTTGTGAATCATTTTCATGTCGTCTAATGTACACAAAAAAAAAAAACAATATACTTCTCTGATAATTTTCAAATAATCTAGGAATGAAAGGGTTAATTCTCCTAGTGATAATAACAAGATATGTATAAGCGATAACATGTTTAATATTCAAGTGTTGTATTAAATATTTCCAGTACTGGATTTCATGTAACGAAAACTTCACTCCAGCACTATGAGAACAAGACGCACACTTCGCTCCTGGCAGGGGGAACTCGTTAACAGAAAGAATTACTAAACATTAGGTACTCACATTGAACCACGTAAGCCCCCAGTTCCGCAGCCAAGTCGAACGACACTGGCAGTCTTCCTTGCAGGATATCCTGTTTGACTTGCAGGAAAAACTGGTACCTGCGAAGCAGAAAAGTGTCCTTCATATCGATCGAAAGGAAACACCATTCCTCGAACGGGCCGGAGTCGAGGTATTTCACGAGGGTCGTTGAATGACTCGTGACAAGTACGTCGTGTAACAAAATCGAAAAGGGGAGAGGGTAACGACGGAAGAAAATAAAAACGGCAATAAGTTTACGAAAACGAAGAAGTCACGATGGGGTCAAGTTGCAGTTCGTCTCGCCGCGAACTTCGATTTTACCGTCGTTGCACACGCGGTTTCTCTTCTTGTATAGTCATCGTTAAAGGACTTTTTACCTCCTCCCCTCCCCCTTTCTCATTTTACCATTTGTTGTGCCGATCTTTCTTTTCTGATGTTGTGTACCGTTCTTCTGTTCCCTCGCTTCGGTACGTCTCGTTCTCCCTTTCGCGCATACCTCTTCCCATACGCAGATTCCTTTTCGTTCGCATATTTCTTACGCTTTTTCTTCATTTTCTACCTGCCAATCTCTCCCGCCGCCTCTTTCTTTGCTCATCCGCCACGCTCGCTTTCATCGTGCCCCATACATCCCTCCACCACACCGAGTTACTTCTCGCCCGTCTTGGTTATAATTCGCTTTTCCGTTATTCTATGCACGATCACGATCTATCGAGTGATTCATTACAAGTGGTTATACCAGCAGTTAATCACTCTTAATTCGAATCTGACAGACTAATTTCGTCGTTTTCGGGAACACTGAAAATATATGCATGAATAAGTTTCATGTCGTGACTCCACAGTGCTAACGTTGTCAATCATTTTTATGGCTGATTTACCTAGTTAAAATAGCTTAATATGTTGTATTAAATAAACGAAACTGTTCGTGAAAAGTTTAATGCAATTTGTGGTGAATTAAAAACATTTTTAAAACATTATAGTTTGGTACATTATTTTAGTTTTGAGTGGTATGTATACTCGAGGGAGATTCAGGTCTCCGATATTACGTGAACAGAGGGAAGAGTTCCCAAGGCCCCCCTTGGGAGTCTCAGGAATTAGAAAGACCCCTAAGGAAATTTAATAGTCCAAAATGCTCCGTTTGAGAGACCAAAAATTTCTAAGGATACTTGAAGATTGATTTAAAAATTCCCATGTGTCTACGAGGGTGACAAGGAAATACCAAGAAACACCCCGAAATTTCAGTGAACTCCAGAAACCCGAAGGAACCTCAAGGGACACCAAAGAACCTCAAGTAACACCAAACAACAAAGTAATTCGAAGGGACCTCAAATCCCTGGAAGAACCTCACAGAACCTAGAGAACACTAGAGAACCTTAAGGAACTTCAAGGGACACCAAAGAATTCGTAGCAATCTCAAGGAACAACAAAGGATACCAAAGAATCTCAAATGATATCAAACAACTTTGAGGGATCTCAAAACACCCAAAAGACTCTCTTGTCAGTATCCTGCAGGTGTTGCTTTTTCTCAAATATTGTTTTTTTCTTCAAATGTCTACGCATTGTTTCTAGTGCATTCTCTTCTTCTGCAGCTCATAAAAAACTACATTATATAATATAGTTTACAGTATTAATAAACATTACCCAAAAGTACTAGTCACAATTTGTATTCATTTCATCAAAACCCAAAAGACTCTCTTGGAACAAGTATCTCTCTAACTCCAAGAAACTCTCCTGTATTACAAATGTAATCGCAGAACAATGACTACTTAATTTTCTCTCACTTAAATTTTCTTCTGACAACATATAGTATGACGGTTCGAATATTGACACCAGAAGATCGTGAAACACCTGACGAACGCGTAACGAAAGTAACCGAAAGTGTTGTTCGAAGACATCGAGAACGAAAGTGATCCTCCTGTGAGCATAGAGCGTGTAAAAAACACGAATGGGCCTCGGCAAAAAAACTTCGTTAACCGTCTTTCCGAAACACTTTGATGCTGCGCCTCTCTTTCTCCTTTGGTATCGCACGCGAGCGGTATTTACTTTGCATAAGTTGCTTGAAGCCGCAAAAACCCCACGGGGGAAACGAGGAATGCTGGAAACGCGATGTAAATGGAGGCAACACGCGAGGCGGCGTAGGATCAGGCTTAACGATAGCGCTTCGTTCGGCGTCGGTTAGGGACGGGACGGTGAAAAAACGGTGCAAGAAGGCGAGCAAAACGGGACAGACGGAGGAGTAAACGCGGAGAGGACGTCTTTATTCTCGACTTGAAAAATGAACAAAGGAGGGCGTATAGAATAAAATTGTCAACTTCAGAATTTCTTTTCAAACGGACTAGTTTCTCCCCGGATGGTGGATATTTTGAATGGTCCTGCAGACGTAGGGACTTGGGTCCGTTTGAATCAATACGAATCTTTCTTCCTATCAGAGATGGGCACAATTTTATTCGAATAATACATAGTGAGAAGCAGCAGTATCTAAGATCGTCATCCTCACCTTTAAACAGTTCGTGAGATTAAATAATTGTTTGCAAAATGTCTATTCATTCAAAAAGAAATATTATTTTATGATAAAAATTGGAATTACTACGTTCAATCAAGTAAAAATGACGAAATATTTTTTTCATCTTTTATTCGTTATTCGAAACTTTTTATCTAGATAATGAATTTGCCTATCTATGGTTCCTATCTACATACAGGATGTCTCGTTTGATCTCTTAAATATCTTTTTTAATTATGAAAACGTAAACAAATATTTTATGCGTAATATGAATGGCAGGCATTAAATGGTCAGTATCCTGCAGGTGTTATTTTTTTTCAAATGTTGTTCTTTTTCTTGAAGTTTTCAAGGTCATGGATGTCTTTTCTTTCAAATAACTACATATTTATTTCTATTGCATTCTCTTTTTCTACAGTTCATAAAAAGATGCATTATATAATATAGTTTATAGTATTAATAAATATTACCCAGAAGTAGTCACAATTTGTATTCATTTCTTTGTAATTAATTCTCAAAGAAAAGTTACATTTTTACCAAATCTGACTCCCTTCAATGCAGGATCACGAGAGTTTCGTAGATGCCGCTCGAGCGCGATGATTCATCTGTACCAGAGTGTTAACACAGCAAACAGACGTACAAAAAGTAGCAAACACTTCTGATGAATTTACGAACCTGAACAGATCTTTAATGATCGGAACAAATTTGTTGGAATGTCCCGGCAACCTATTCCGTCTCCTAAAAAACCCGTTAACATAAACTGACGAGTTAACACCTCTTGGAGGAACTTGTGTAAAAACAGTCAACGTCTAAAACTGGTACAATTTACTTTATCACAACTACAACAACACACTCTATTCAGCCATGCTCTCAGATCCAATGGTCGCCCCCATGGGACTAAAAACATCGTCCCCCATAATTTTCCGCTGCGTCGGTGGCGTAGGGGGGGGGGGGAGAAAAGAAAAGAAAGAAAAAAGGAGAGGAGAAGGTTAAACGACAGGAAATACGAGGAAGACGGGGTACAAGAAAGTGGGCTGATTAAGGTGATGACTGGAAAAGGAAGAAATGAGAACTCCTAGGAACAACTAGGGTGAGATAGAGTTAACGAATGAGATTTTAATGATTCAACGGTAATATATTGAATTTCTTTTGGGCCGATGTTCAAGGAGCCGGCGGCGATGGAGAGGAAAGGAGGTGCCCGCGCGTGTTTCCGGGCGAAACCACGTTAGAGACGTTGGGGATCGAGACAGGAACTGGAAAAACGGGGGGAAGTGACGGT